AAAGGAACGGTAGGACTTTGTGGGGGTAGGTCTTATTGTCCTTGGGCAAACAAGCGGTCATCTGTCATTTATAGTGACCCCCCTGATCAGCAGTCAATGACGGCTCCCAGCTGTCTGGGCTGAGCCCAAACTGCTTGTTTTCCCTGCCCTCCTCCTGCTCCTGCTCCTCCTCCTCTTCCTCCTGCTCCTCCTCCTTTTCTTCTCATGGAAATAAACCATTCAGGAGCATCCAGTCCCAAAGCTGTCTTCCAAGAACAACCTCAGCCTCCCGCAACAGCCCGTTTCATCTGCTGCCAACAAAGCAAAGGGGCTTCCTTCTGTTCTTCTCCAGCAGCTGCCCTTTCCGTCACAATAGACCGCAGAACTGAGACCGTCCCAAGCGCAAGGATGGCCTTTCTTACACCGTCGAAGCCGTCCAGGTGACAAACTCCTCCGATGGGAGTTTGTGACAAGCGGAGAAATCCTGCAGCCTTTTCTTCCCCCTCCACCGGTTCTCACTCAACCTGGTCAAAGGGCATTGGCTTTCCAAGAAGAAAACATGGGTGAATTGTCCAGGGATGGAAGCAGGGGTGAAATGCTCCCGGTTCGGACCGGATCACCCGATCCGGTAGTGATGGCGGCGGGTGGTTCAGAGAACCGGTAGCAAAAATCCCCGCGCGCCCCCACCCCATCATGCCCAGCTGAGCCGCACGATCATCAGAGGCTTTTTTTTTTTACTTTTAAAAGCATTTTTTCTACAACTTCTTCCACTGAAAAAAATGCTTTTAAAAGTAAAAAAAAAAAAAAAGCCTCTGATGATCGCGTGGCTCAGCTGGGATTGTCAGAGCCTTTTCAAAGCATTTTTTTAATCACCTCTTCCCTGGAAGAGGTTGCAGAAAAAAATGCTTTAAAAGTCTCTCTGCCGATCAGGCAACTCAGCTGGGATCATCAGAGAGACTTTTAAAGCATTTTTTTTCTGCAACCTCTTCAGCAGAAGAGGTGGTTTAAAAAATGCTTTGAAAAGGCTCTGACAATCCCAGCTGTGTTGCCCGATCGGCAGAGGCTTTTCAAAGCATTTTTTTGCATTTGCAGAAAAAATGCTTTGAAAAGTTTTTTTTTTAAAAAAAAAGTTGGCCATGCCCACCCAGTCACATTACCCCCACCACCACCAAGCCACGCCCACAGAACCGGTAGTAACAAATTTTACATTTCACCCCTGGATGGAATTTTACATTTCACCCCATGATGTATGTACAGGCAGTTCTTGACTTACAACAGTTCATTTAGCGACCATTCAAAGTTACAATGGCACTGGGGAAAAAAACTGACTTAGGACCATTTTTCACACCCTTACGACCGTTGCGGCATCCCCTTGATCACATAATCGAAATTCAGATGCTCAGCACCTGGCTCAGTTGCGGTGTCCCAGAGTCACGTCATTCCCCCTTTGCAACTTTCTGACGAGCAAAGTCAACGGGGGAAGCCAGCAACCCCATTGCTACCTTAACAACTGCAGAGATTCACTTAGCCACTGTGGCAAGGAAGGTCGTAAAATGGGGCAAAGCTCACTTAGCGACTTAAAATTTTGGGCTCAGTGGTGAACGTAAGTCACGGGCTACCTATATTTCCAGGAGAAATATCACTTTCACTGCTAACTTTTTCCGGACCAAGTGCCCAAAGCGAATGCGCACACGCCTGAACCCCCCAAATGCAATGCCCCATGCATGCGCCCCCCCGCACATGTACACATGGCACCCCTGCATGCGCCCTCCCCACGCGTGTGCATGCAGCACCCCCGCATGTGTCTCGCCCCCCCCATGCATGTATGGCAGAGACCCAATGACCAGCTGGCTGGTGGGAGGCGTGTGGCCAGAAATGGCCCGTTTGCCGACTTCCAGTCCCAGCAGAAGTTGGCAACCGGGCCGTTTACGGCCTCCAAAGGGCCTCGAGGGGGGTGGGGTGGCGAAGGCCGTTTTCGTCCTCCCCAGGCTCCTAGAGAGGCTCTGGAGCCTGGGGAGTGCAAAAAATGGGTCTGCCAGGCCCACTGTGCCATCATGTGCCAAAAGCGGGGGGAGTGCAGGGGCAGGGCGCATAGAATTATGGGTGTGAGCACATGTGCACGCAACCCCCCCATGCTCCCCCCGCCTTTGGCACGCAATGGCAAAAAGGTTAGCCATCACTGCCATATACCATTTCAGACAATTATCCAATCTTTTCTTTAAAAACTCCAGTGATGGCGCACCCACAACTTCTGAAGGCAAGCCATTCCACTGATTAATTCTCACTGTCAGGAAATTTCCTCTTAGTTCTACTTGGTTTCCTTAAATAAATTTCCATCCACTGCTTCTTGTCCTGCCTTCAGGTGCTTTGGAGAATAGGTTGACCATCCCTTAGTATAATAGTACAGCCTTTATTGTCATTTTACATCATGTGTACGACAAAATTGGTTTTAAAAAAAAATATCTTCCTTGTGGTAGCCCGTTAGATATTTGGAAGACCGCTATCATGTCCTTCTTTTCATTAAACTACAGACAGACCTCTTTGCCATTAATATTAAGGTCAAAGATAAAATTGGAAAGCAGAGAAAATACCTTTGGGAAGATGAGGGGATAAAAAAAAATTATGGACTGTGCAGAAATGAATAGATTGACTTTAAGGATTAAAGATAGGGAAGAGATAGAGTATTATAGAATATGGAACTGTTTCTATTATTGGTTGGAAAAGAGATATCAAAAATAAAAGCTTTATGGTTATATTTAAAAATTTGATAGGTAGAATTTTGTTTTAGTAAGGAGATATTAAAATGGTTTGTATAAAGATCAAGATAGAAGAAAGTTCCTTTTTTGGAAGAAGAAGAATGACCGAAGATAACACCGAGATGTCACAGGGACGGGGTGACAGATGTACTAAATGTTTGTTTGTGTTTGAGCTGTTTCATTGCAATGATTTTCTGATACTCTCCCCAAACAGATTGTCCTTTGAAGCCCATTTCTCTTCATGGCGATACCATGGCCTGCAGGAGAAGACAGGTCCAGACTGCAGTGATTTTACAGTTGAGATGCCCTCTAGAGGTCTTGGGTATCCTTGCTTTCCCCGTCAACTTTCTATCCTCCATATGCTCTGGACTGTAATTCTCACAGTTTATTGTCAGTGCCCCTACAGCCCGAGGCTAATGGGAATGAAAGTTCAAAACTTCTGGAGACCACCAAATTGCCTGTCCCTGTGATTAATGATTTTGGGTTAAGATGTGTGAAGGACTCTGCTCCATATCAACACGGCTAATTGCATCCATCTCTGAGAACTTGTCTCTGTAGCACGTTGCAGTCTTAGCGGACACTGTTATACGTGCTCTTCATTGGTGGCACCCGGATTATGGATGCCACCAAAGAAAACTTCTGGAATTGGCTGCAGTGATAGAGCAGCAAAACAGTGATTGCTCTCGGGTGAGTGTTTGTATTGCATGCATGTTTTATTTGGGGGAAATAATGCAAATTCTGCCTCATGAATTGCACAGTTTTACTCTTATTTCCTCACAAAGCTCAGTAGAAATCATGCCTCCATTTCACCAATGTTGGGCTGCCAGATTGTGGAAAATAAACCACCAGCAGGCGGTAGGCTATAGATGGCTCACTCTTGCTTTGGTGATGGCTTAATCTCAATAAATAAGCATCAGACTTCAAATTAAACTGAAATAGTCTCCTTTTGAATCCTCTATCCAAGGTTGTCTATGGAATACAGTCCAAAAAGTGAAGATGATGGCTGAAAGGGTGTAATTGAAATTCTGCCTTGACACACTAAAAAACAAGTAGAGCTTCCATTATACCCGTGATGGCGAACCTATGGCACGCGTGCCACAGGTGGCACGTGGAGCCATATCGGTGGGCATGCGAGCTCTGCTCCGGCGCGCATGCGTGCGCCAGCCAGCTGATTTTCAGGCCTTCTGGGCCCACTGGAAGCAGGGAAACAGGCTGTTTCCTGCCTCTGGAGGGCCTGGGGGAGGTGGGGAAGGCCTGTTTTTCGCTCTCCCCAGGCACCAAAGCCTCTCTAGGAGCCTGGGTAGGACAAAAACAGCCTTCCCCACACCCCCCGGAGATCCTCCAGAAGCCAGAAATGGCCCGTTTGCTGACTTCTGGTCCCAGCAGAAGTTGGCAAACAGGCCGTTTCTGGCCTCTCCAGGCTCCTAGAGAGGCTCTGGAGCCTAGGGACCGCAAAAAACGGGTCTGTCCACTGTGCCATTGCGTGCCAAAAGCGGGGGGAGCGCGGGCAGGTCACGTGCACATGGGCGGGGGCAGTGCGCATAGAATTATGGGTGTGGGCACATGCATGTGTGCCCCCCCATGCTCTCCCCCCGCCTTTGACACACAATGGCAAAAAGGTTAGCCATCACTGCATTATTCCATCGCAACCACTATCTTGACTTTTGCAGTTATATATTTCAGATAACCCCATTTCTGACTTTTTTTAAAAAAATTGATCTATTTTATTTTCCCCCTAAAGTTTTTTTTTTAAAAATTGTATTTTAATTTTAACTCTTTCTGTGAACCCCTTGAAAAGGTGAGTCAAAGTGACGCAGGGCTGAAGGCAGTCAGTCAATCCATCAGCCAGGGTGTTAGAGAAATCATTCAAGATGGGTTTTAATCAGAGGTGGGTTTCAACAGGTTCTGACCAGTTCTGGAGAACCGGTAGCGGAAATTTTGAGTAGTTCGGAGAACCTGTAGTAAAAATTCTGACTGGCTCCACCCCCATCTATTCGCTGCCTCCCAAGTCCCAGCTGATCGGGAGGAAATGGGGATTTTGCAGTATCCTTCCCCTGGAGTGGGGTGGAAATGGAGATTTTACAGTATCCTCCCCCTGCCACGCCCACCAAGCCATGCCACGCCCACCAAGCCATGCCACACCCACAGAACCGGTAGTAAAAAGATTTGAAACCCATCACTGGTTTTAATGTAAAATAAGGACATTTTAAATCCCTACACGACCCCAAAAGAACACCTTGTCAGGCCAAACACAAATAATCTTACCTTCCACCAGGGACGTTAACAAGGTGACGTTTGCTGCTTTGCGCCTTCCAGCGGGTAGATTTAACCCTATCTTCTCCAACCTTTCTCTTAAACATCTTCCACCATTTTTAGATTTTGCCCTAAAAACAGGAAAGCAGAAAAACGAAACAATCTGAATGGGATTTAAAAACAAACAAACAAACTAAGGAACCAAATCACCCTTAATTTCCAAAATCTGTTCTTCAACAATTCTAGGAAGAGACTTAGGACTGTTTGTAAATTTTGCAATTAAATTATGGTTCACGGTTTGGTAACGACTTCTTACATGCATCAAAATTAATATAAAAAACACATACAGATGGTCCTTGCTTGACTGCTCACTTAGCAACCATTCAAATTACATCAGACCACCCCAGAGCTACTTACAAAGCAGTTGTGGACTTCTAATGACTGCGCCCCCTCCCCCACCCCATGGTCATGTGATCACATTTTTGGCACTTGGCAATCAGCTTCCATATACATCTGTTTGCAATGTCCCATGGTCACGTGACTGCAATTTTTGGTGTTTCTTGCCAATTTCCGGTGTCTGCTTCCAGTTTCTAGCACAAAAAATGCCCACTGAGTCAAACGAATCCATTTAACAATTCTGACGTTCATTAAATGACAGCGGAGTACACTTAATGACCATGGTGTTTGCTTAAGGACCACTGCAAAAAAGATTGTAAAATCGGTCACGGTCACATGGTGACTCACTAACGGACGCCACCACTTATGACTGTAATTCTGGGTTCAATTAACAGTTGTAAGTCTAGGTCCTAAGACTACCTACCCTGTTTCCCCCAAAATAAGACATCCCCCGATAATAAGCCCAATCGGACTTTTGAGCGCATGGCAATAAGGCCAAGTGCTCATTTCAAGGTTCCAAAAAAAATAAGACAGGGTCTTATTTTCAGGGAAACACGGTAGATAGGTAGGTAGGTAGGTAGATAGAGATAGAGAGATAGAGAGATAAATGATATATATGTATGTATGTATAGATGATAAATGATAGATCAATAGATGATAGATAGATAGATAGATAATAGATAGATAAATGATAGATAGTTAGATAGATAGATAGATAGATAGATAATAGATAGATAGATAGATAGATAGATAGATAGATAGATAGATAGATAGATAGATGATAGATAGATAGATAGATAGATAGATAGATAGAGTGGAATTGGGATCATAGAAACACCCAGGAGCATAAAAGAGTTCAGAGGCAGATGCATAAATAAATGTCTTAAACATATTTATTCATATGATAAAGCATATTAACTATGTACAACAGAGATCAAGTCTCATGAGGAACAAACATGAAAAGAGAGAGATGGAGAGAGTGCCAGAGCAAGGTGGAAAAAGTTGGAGAGGGTTTTATACTCAGGGTAAGCCCCTCCTTTCCACATAGGGGTGGAGACACTCTCTGCCTCCACTGGTGTCTATATGACACATGTGCCAATGGCTTGCAAATACTTGACAGATAGATAGATAGTAGGTAGGTAGGTAGATAGATACAGAGAGATAGCGAGATAAATGATATATATGTATGTATGTATAGATGATAGATCAATAGATGATAGATTGATAGATGATAGATGACAGATAGATAGATAGAGAGAGAGAGAGAGAGAGAGATACTGTAGATAGATAGAAAGATAGAAGGTAGGTAGGTAGGTAGATAGATAGATAGAGATAGAGATAGAGATAGAGATAGAGATAGATGATAGATAGATTATCTATCTATCTGATAGCCAAATAGCTAGATAGATGATAGATAGATAGATAGATAAATAGATAGAAATGATAGAAGATAGTGAGAGATATAAATAGATGATAGAGATGACAGATACCCTGTTTCCCCCAAAATAAGACATCCCCTGATAATAAGCCCAATCGGGCTTTTGAGCGCATGGCAATAAGGCCAAGCGCTTATTTCAGGGTTCCAAAAAATATAAGACAGGGTCTTATTTTCGGGGAAACACATTATATATTGTAGTCGTATGGAAACCTGGGGGCAATTTGTTCTGGCTAAGATTTGACCAATCTTCAAATCCATCTTACTTTGGCTGACCATCTTCTTATTTATTTTTTTAATTACTTATTTATTCAATTTATATGGTGCCCATCGCAAATTTACAACTGTAAAAACAGACCCTTCGGTCACAGTTTTAACAAACCAAACAAATGAACGTTGTGAATTCCTACCGCCGAAGGACGCCACCAAGGAGAGAAGCGTTGAGGCATTCTGGGGGCGAGAGCCTCCTCTGAACTTCACCCACGGTCACTTTGTACTTGGAGGTGGAGCTGAGGAGGGACAACCGTCCTGGAACGGAGCAGAAGACTTCGCTTGGATTGGTCACCCCTCCTATCAGGGTGTCCTTGTTCATGGTCAGGGAAGAGATGGTGGTCCCGTTGGCCTTCGAAGGGATAGGCACTAGAAGATCAGGACAAATGAAGAATGAAGGAGTGACAGCTATAACAAAGCATGGGTTCATTTAGGATTAAGCAGCCATAATAACACAGCTGTTGTTCTGATCTAGGCTTCCTTAGAAAGTATAAAGCACAATCTTAGTCCCGCAAAACCTCTTTAATTCATACGGCTATAAATCATTTCCATTTACAGTCCGCAAGCCTTGATAAACAATGTATCTCAGGGGGCTTTTCTGGGATGAAATGATGGGCAGCCTGCATAAGCTTCTTTGGAAGCAAAAATACAATATACGCACAATAAATGAATAAGCCCAAGGAATTCTTATTATTTAGTTCCTGGCCAAAACTTTCTTAAAACCACCAAAGAACCATCAAAGAAACACCGAGAACACTCCCACCAACACTAGTATATAAAAATAAGAGCAAATCCCACTCCCTTCTAGCTCTGATGATATTATCTAGTTTGGTAATTAAATGCCACCAAGCTCAGAGAACTCTAAGGACCCCATAGCTCTCTTCAAACTTTTTACTATGCTATAAAACTTTGGAACACCCAGCTCTACAAATCCTCTCTTTTGATTAAAAAAAACAAAACAAAGAAAGAAAACTTCCTCACTCGTAACCTTTAATTTGTTTTGACAACAAGATCCTCAGTGTTTCTCAAACTTGGCAAGTTTCTGATCGGCCAACTTCAACTCCCACAGTTCCCTAGCCAGTGTGAGGAATTCTGGGAGTTGAAATCCACTCATTTTAAAGTTGCCAAGTTTGAGGAACACAGCTCTACATCATGTATAGTATGTGATGCCTGGGAACGTGCGATCAGTTGTACAAAAACAACTTACATAAGCTAGTGTTCTTACACAGCAAAGGATAGATTAAGTGGCGTGACCCATTTTGCAGCCAATAAAATGCATCCTTGTGAATGCATAAGCTCATCATGAATAGTGAAGTATGAATTAAGAATTTAGACAGTGTCCACGTCACGTGGCTTCCCAACCAGGATTGCTTATACGAATGGTAGAGAAGGTTTTCAAAGCAATCTCCCATTGGGAGGGAATCAAAACTAATAGCTCCACATGGGCTCAGACTAGGATGAAGAAATGTGTCAGTTGTGGTTTGTCTCCCTTTTTAATTTTTCAGTTCTAAGGTCACTCAATCCTCTTTCAGTTTGTTTTTTAAAGCATGTATTACAGACAGTCCTCAACTTATAACCATTCATTTGATGACTGTTCAAAATTACGACAGCCCTCAAAACAGTGGCATGCAACTGTCCCCCGCACTTATGACTTATGCCACAGCATCTCCACAATCACATGATCAAAATTCGGGCCCTTGGCAATTGTATTTACAACGGTTGCAACATGCCTCCCCAGCTGGCTTCTGACATGCTAAGTCAATGGGGGGGAGCCAGATTCGCAACGACCACAGGATTCACTGAATTTCAGTGATTCACTTAACAACCATGGCAAAAGGGTCGTAAGATTGGGTGTGATTCACTTAACAACCGCCTTGCTTAGCAACCAAAATTCTTGTCTCAGTTGTAGTCGTAACTTGAGGATTAGGTCATTGTTAGGTCATTCTGTGCATAATTCTTTTAACATGCCCATTTGGTTTGCGATTTTGACCAATATACAGTTTTTGCCAATAAACTTTTGTACATAGTTTTCAGGTAAATTTCCCTAGTATGCTTTTTTTTTAAAAAAGAAAAAACCTGACAAGCTGCACTAAAAAATCTTGTAATGCTTTTTGCTTGTTTCACGATTTTTAAAAGATCCATTAAAATAAAACCAACTTCATTTGTCATTTACAACTTCTCTTAAAATGCAATATTTTAATCCTAATTTATCTTAATGCATGCATATTTCCTTGATGTATAGATCCTGATGCTTTGCACATTTATAAGTATGAGTTTTCCCCTTCCTTAAACTGGATGAAGACCTGACTCTTGGTTTCAATTACAACTTAGTTCTTTAATCAGTTTGGGTGTTTAAGATTTTAATAGCTACTTTGGCTACTAGTTTACTGCTTGTATTTTCAGTTATTATGAGCCCAGTTCAAATTGGATTTATATGCAGTCCAATTACAATAATACCATATTAGATTTGTAACTGATATAATTTCTTTAATTCAAAGCAGATAGAATCCAGCAGCCACTAGTTTTTTGAACGCTGAGGAAACTTTTGGTATGGCATTTTCGGAAGTTTCTGAAACAGGTGTTGACTTATGGATCTGCCCCATGTTTTAAATATATTCTGAATCAACATGTTTTGAATTATCTGTAAACGCATGTGGTTAGGAACCATTTGGTATGTCTCCTTCTGGATGAAATCTATGCCGTGGCATATGTCAAGAATGTTCTTTTTTGACTTTTGATTTTAATAGTTCTTGCTTGGAACTATCAGAAATCCTAAAATTATTAAGAAGCTCATAATGGTGGATCATAACATTTGAACTTTATAAAACACTTTATTTTCAGAGCTCTAATTAATCGTTGTGGAAAAAACTGAAATATTATCAGTATCAATCAATCAGAATTTATTACAGCCATAGACCAGAGATCATATATTATCAGTATTATTAAGCAGTATTGTGTTAGATTGCAATGGCATTACACTGTTACAACCATTAATTGATAAAATATTTATAATCTGTTTCACAAATAACCTGTATCGGCATAACTAACCAGTCTTCCCTTCCAGAGGTGGATTTCAGCAGGTTCTGACCAGTTCTGGAGAACCGGTAGAGGAAATTTTGAGTAGTTCGGAGAACCGGTAGTAAAAATTCTGACTGGCCACGTCCCCATCTATTCTCTGCCTCTCAAGTCCCAGCTGATCGGGAGGGAATGGAGATTTTGCAGCAACCTTCCCCTGGAGTGGGGAGGGAATGGAGATTTTACAGTATCCTTCCCCTGCCACGCCCACCAAGCCATGCCACGCCCACCAAGCCACACCCACAGAACCGGTAGTAAAAAATTTTGAAACCCACCACTATTCCCTTCCCTTCTTTTCCCCTTATGCCAGTTTAAATCCTACATCACAGTCGACAATCCATGCTTCTGATGAAGCGACCCCGTGTCTTTTAATAAGATTTTGTTAGTCTGAAAAGCTGTTGCCAAGTTCCTTCAGATCTATAACAGGGAAAGCAGATGAATGGCATGTTATGTTTTATAGAGATTTGTGTTTATGCTTTGTTTACCTGGAAATCGATTCCTAGAAACTCTCACAAGTGATAAATTTGACCGCATATTATACAGGGACACAATAGAAAGAAGATAAACAGGCTGATTACGGACTTTACTAAACATCCATTATGGACTGATTACGGAAACTGGACTTTCTGGTTTATCTTTGAAGGCGTATCGCTTCTCATCCAAAGAGCTATTCATAATTATATTCATAATTATATTCAAAAGTATTCATAACTATTCAGTTTATGCTTATATCTGTTACCTATTACACGCTCGACAAAATAAATAAATAAAGCTTCTTTGAAGGCACATCACTTCTCATCCAAGAAGTCTTCAAAGAAAAACCAGAAAGTCCAGTTGCCTCTGGAAAAAGCACCTTTGGGACAACCATGACTTGGATGGCTGAGAATCTCCACAGACATTAAGCAGATTAAAATTATTTTAGTCAACTAATTTAGTCAAATTTAGTTAGTAATTTGAGCTTTAGGTTGCATTGTGATGCTTTGTTTACCTGGGTTTTGATGCCTAGAAATTCTCGCAACTGGCAAATTTCACAATGTATTAAATAAGGATTGAATGGAAAGAAGATTAAAAAAAGTTGATTAAAGTTATCTTAGTCAAATAATTCAGTTAACGATTTGAGCTTTAGGCTGTGTTTTGAAGCTTTGTTTACCTGAGTGTAGATTCCTAGGAACTCTCACTGGTGGAAATTTGACAATATATTAAATAGAGACACAATGGAAGGAAAATAAACAATAGTCGGTAAAGCCCTGTCAGGATTAGGATTAATTGGGCTTTTGATAATCTCATTATTTTGGATCAACTTTGTTCTGATAGGGCTGTTTTAAAATGTTTGTAGAACTTAGAACTGATTTTGATTTCTCTGAGAATTCTTCTTCCTATATTCGTTAAGTCCCTTTTATTCAGATTGTTTTGCTTTGATCTCATTCTGAAATCCTTTTGAAGGTTCCTAAAGCAACTGATCTTTTTCTTAAGAAGTTGAAGGAAGTTGATAGGATTGATGTGAACTCCCTCCCTCCCTAGCCTTTGGAATAACAACATTCTGTTTTTATTAAACCAGTGGAAGGTTGCTTTAAAAGAATAGGAAAGTCATTTCCTTCTATCTTAAGTGAGGTTAATACAGCAGAAAAATTCTTTCACATATTCTGGATATCCAAGGGAATGTTTAGTAAGGGTTATTGCTTATTGGAGATGCAATTCAGGAATTGAAATATTAATTCACATGGTCTGGACTTGTTTTTGTATACCAAATTCAGGGTTGAACTTTATAGGACTATAAATATTGTTGTAGTCTCGTGTTCTTTTTCCATTGTTTATTTTATGGTACTATTATTTTACTTCTGTTTACACTCCTTTCATTTTCTTCCTTTTTAGTATTGTAAACAGATAGAGTAGCTCCATGGAGAGATAGGTGGCAAATAGATTTAAACAACAACAACAGCAAGAACAACAATGAAAATAATCATAATGATAATGATAATAATACGATTTTAAATTAATTGTACATAAAGGAAATCTGTATTTTGTGGGCTAGATTCCCTGTATCTAAATTTCAGATATTGTGATTGTTTCATGCAGAAGTATGGTTAAAATAATTATTATCCAAAATTGGAAGGATAAATCTACACACTGATTTGCAGCCACAACATACATACAGTCAGTCAAAATTTGAATTGCCCAAAAAGCCCAGGAAAAGATCAAATTTTTGGAGTTGTTTTGTTTTTGAGATAGTCTTTTTCCTTACTCTCCTAATTATAACACAATGTTTTGTTAACTGTAGTATGCAATTCTTCCCC